AAAAAAAAAAAAAAAAAAGAAAAGTAACAGTATTTCTTCTATACCCTTAAAAAAATAAGCAGATATTAAAAAGAGAAACACACTAAACATACAATTTTAAAGTAAAACTACTTATTTAATGTAATAAATAAAAGATCCTATAAGGATTGTCAACTTATATTACTTACTGTAGGTCTGGTTTTATCAAAAGCTCCCATTGCAATTTTGAAACCAGCTCCGTCACCAATTAAAACATTTTCTTTAGGCACTTTCACATCTTCGAAGACAATTCCTCTAGTATCTGAACATCGCTGGCCCATGTTTAATTCCTAGTAAGAAAATTGGTATATTTTAAGGAATTTTTTTTGAGCCAGTATCAATTTTTGCTTTAATCACTGTTTCATGACTTTCTGCAATTACCTAAAACAGGGATCAACAAAGTATAGTCTGCAATGCTTGTTTTACAAAGAAAGCCTTATTGGAATACAGTCACACCTATTTGTTTACATATCATCTACAGTTACTTTCTTGCTACAATGGCAGAACTGAGTAGTTGTGACAGTGATACGGCCTGCAAAGCCTGAAATATTTATAATTTGGATCTTTACAAAAAAATTTGCCAACCATAATCTCGAACAACATTTCACAAATTTTGAAACCAACACTAGTCTAAAGGTCTACAAGTACATCCTATCAACAAAGACAAATCTCATTTTATGTTTGAAAGCTCTCTATTTTACCATGTCAGAAAAAACATTTAGTAAACACAATCTGATTTGAGACCTTTAATCTTAATAGAGCTAGTAAAATAATCTACTGAATAAAAATTGTTTTCCTTTGACTCTTTGTTAAAATTAGGTTTACTGAGGTATAATTTACATGTAGAAAAGTCATCATTTTTATGTATACATTTCTAATAACTCTGACAAATGTATGTGTGTGTAACCACCACCATGCTCAAAATATAGAGTATTTTAGAACCCCAAAAAGTTACCTTGTTCTCCCTTTATAGTCAATTTCCTTATTCTACACCTATCCCCTGGCAACCACTGTGTGATTTTTCTCCATGTAGTTTTTCCTTTTCCAGAACGTCATTTAAGTGAAATAATAAAGTCTGCTTTCTGTGTCTGACTTTTCACTTAGTATAGTGCTTCTGAGATTCACCCATGTTGCTGCACAATCAATAATTCATTTATTTTACTGCTGAGTAGTATCCCACTGTATGGATGTACCATATATCCATTATCTTTTCACTAGTTGATGGATACCCCCCTCCTCATTTTTAGCAATCATTAATAAAATTGCAACAAACATTTGTATATAGGTCCTATTTTCATTTCTCTTGGGTATTTATCTAAGAGCACTGGTTATGTGATAAGTGTATGTTTGACTTTATAATAAACTACTAAACTAGCTACATTCCCTCAACTTTTTGTTTTAAAAATTTTGAAACCAATGGAGGAGTTGTAATAGGCATATAAGTACTTATATACCCTACACCTGTAATAGATTCACCAGTTGTTAACATTTTGATACACTTGCTTTATTTTTTCTCTTTCTCTTTGTATATAACTGTTAGTGTTATGCTGAATCATGAGAGGAAGTTGCAGACATAACTCTTAATAAGGAAAAAAATTTGATCTCATTTTTAATAAGCAGAATGAGAAACAGGAGCATTGGAAACAAAGAGCTATAAACTAATCCTTTAATTTGCTGGTTTTAATAGTCTACTTCTGAGTTTGAAGAAATGATAACAATAGTTTGACCTAGAAAGAAACCAACATCCCTTTATTTTGTCTTTAAAAGTTGATAAACTAGAATCTTGGACCACCATTCAGATATAATGAGAAAACACCTTACCAGATTCATCCCAAACCCCACAACATTTAAAACCAAAATGCTTCCTGGGCTCATCTCAAACCATGTAATTTCTAAAACAGAAAACATTTGAAAACATTAGGTCTCACTCTGTCATCCAGGCTGTAGTGCAGCAACACGAGCATGGCTCACTGCAGCCTTGACTTCCTGGGCTTAGGTGATCCTGCCACTTCAGCCTTCCAAGTACCTGGGACTACAGGTGTATGTCACTACAACTGGCTAATTAAATTTTTTTTTTTTTTTTTTTTTTGTAGAGGTAAAGTCTCAATATGTTGCCTAGGCTGTTTCTGAACTCCTGGGTTCAAGCAGTTCTCCCAGATCAGCCTCCCAAAGTGCTAGGATTACAATCATGAACCACCAAACCTGGCCTGAAAACATCAAATTTCACAAATTTGTAAATATCCGTTTGTTTCAATAAAGATTTAAGGAGGCTTAAATATACACAACATAATTATCTATATCCCTCACTGGAAAGTAATTTACCTAAGGCCAGGGATTTTTGTCTATTTTGATCCATACTGTATCCCTAATAGCTAGAATACTGTATATAGTATGCACTACATAAATATTTATTGAAGTAGAGATTTTTTTTTTTTAAGTGAGAACATTAGGCAAAAAGAAAAAAAACCTAGAAATAGCAAGATAAAATCAGGAGTGAGTTTACTACTAAAAAAAATATAAGCTGTTAGGTCCTTTATACTTTCTAAAGATGGGCCATACATTTGGCCAAGTTTGCTAGCAACAACTCCTAAGACAGAAACATGATCTGTTACAGAAATAAAAAACAATTTCTTGGGAAAAGCACAACAATTTTTAGTTCTTATATTTTGTTACATACAACAGTATCATCAGTTTTGTCAGGTGCAGTCTACCTTTAATATCTGATTGAAAATATAGCACAATATAGCATCATAAACTACACTGAGTAAGGTCCTAGGATACCTTCATATTGATTTCAATTCTGCCTCTCACTTTGTGACCTTGGTTGGGTGCAGTGGCTCGTGCCTGTAATCCCAGCACTTTAGGGGGCCAAGGTGGGAGGATCACTTGAGCCCAGGAGTCTGAGACCAGGCTGGGCAACACAGCACAACCCTGTCTCTACAAAAAATACAAAAATTAGCCATGTGTGGTGGTGCATGCCAGTAATCCTAGCCACTCAGGAGGCTGAGATGGGATGATTGTCTGAGCCCAGGAGGCAGAGGTTGCAGTGAATTGAGATCCTGCCACTGCACTCCAGCCTGGGCAACAGAGCGAGATACTGTCTCAAAAAAAAAAAAAAAAGAAAGAAAGAAAGAAAATTACTTTATTGACTTCATTTCTTTCCTTCTTTATAAAATTTATAATTTTAAACTCTGAGTTATAAAATTTTAAACTCTTTTCTCTTTAGTCTACTTTAAACACCAAATTTATCTCCACATATTCAGAATACAAACCTTTTCAAATATGTTAAATTACCTTTTCTTATTTAAATAAGATTTTCTTGCCTTTCCACATTCAAGGCTATTTGCTATTTTCTACACTCTTTTCAGGCATAGACGTTTTTCTTAGTGTTATATGACCTAGTATAATCTCAATTATGTCACATTGTTTTTATCTGTAAAATGGGCATAATGCCATTTATCCTACCAAAAGGTTGCTGTGAGGATCCAATGGAGAAAAGTGTGGGAAAGTCCTTTGAAATATCCAAAATTCTTATTATTGGTCAGGTAATATAAATGGTAGCTTGATTTTACTTCATTATTCCTCACAGCTGTTATTAGCCTTCTTCACAGGTTAGTACTACTCTTTCAAAATGACTTGAAATGACTGCTCACAAAATCTTCAGTAGTATATAGACTATTTGATCTAATATGATCAAAACACAGCTTTATTTTTACTCCAACTTACTACAAACAAATGTTTTCATTAAAGGAAAGTTAAGTAATTTGCAATTTATAATTAAAATAATATTTGGGGCCCTAATCATTGATAAACACTTTACCTTTCTCCCAATCTGAATTCCTGGGGTATCTGCTTCCACAATGAATCCAGTAAAGGCTTTATTAGCAGGAGCTTTAGGATCTGGATCAGAACGTGCCAATACAAAATACCTAAGAGATACACACAACCGATAATGGTGATAATATCAGCAAATAACACATGGTGACTGCTCTCTCAGTTAATCCTCTTAACAATCCCAATTATTATTACCTACATTTTACAAATGAGGAAATAAATAATCAGTTTTAAAAGAGCTATGGACGAGATAGTATTTGAGGTCTACGTCTAATAACACAGTAGGCCCTCCCCCATTACATGGGGTTTCACTTTCTGTGGTTTCAGTTACCCGCAGTACAGTACATATAAGATATTTTGAAAGACAAAGAGGACATTTACATAATTTTTTTTTTTTTTTGTACAAGATCTCACTCTATTGCCCAGGCTGGAGTACAGTGGCATGATCTTGGCTCACTGCAGCCTCGACCTCCCCAGCTCAGGTGATTCTTCCACCTCTTCTGAGTCACTGGTACTATGGGCACGTGCCACCATGCCCAGCTAATCTTATTTTTTGTAGGGATGAAGTCCCATTACCTTGCCCAGGCTGGTTTCAAACTCCTAGACTCAAGGGATCCTCCCACATGGGCCTTCTAAAGTGCTGTGATTACAGGTGTGAGCCACCATGCCTGGCCTAACATTTACATAACTTATTACAATATATTGTTATAGTTCTATTTCATTAGTAGTTGTTGTTAATCTCTTGCCCGGCCCACTTTATCAATTAAACTTCATCATAAGTATATATGTGTAGAAATATAGTATATATAGGCTTTGGTACTTCTGAAGCTTCGGGTATCCACTAGGGGTCCTGGAATGTATCCTGCAAAGATAAGGAGCGACTACAGTATGCTATTTAACTTTGTTCTAGTAGTATGAGTTGTAAGTAAAAATCCCTGGTATAATAATAATGTAATATAACAAGACAGTCTGTGCATGTTGAAATTGGCACTTTTTCTCTCCCAAAACTAATTTTATTCTTTAAGGGGCATGCTATCTTGAAAAGGAGGACAAATAGAGCTGCCTGTGAAAAGGAATAATATAAAACAGAGACCCATATGTTCCAACTACTGTTTCTTTATGCAGCAAGTCAGTATTTTTGTTATAGCTGAGTTATTAGGAATATTTGCTGATTTTTTCCTACAGAAGAATTTCTCAGAAAGATTTTGAAGTGAAACATAAGAAAAAAAATGCAAATATCCAAGCATCTAATTCATGTTCCACATACCCTGGTATATGAAAAATTCTTTTAAAAAGGTATATTCTTCCCTTAACAACACAAACTTATTTTCTTTGCTTAAAACCAGTATATTACCACTCATTCTATAGTTTTATTTAATAGTAATAGTAACAAAATCATAAAAATTGTTATCTGGTTTCATATGTTACCTAATTTGCCTTACTATATGAACAATGAACAGTTGTAATCAGTTATTTCATTCAATTTTGTAAAGATGGGGTCTCGTTATGTTGCCCAAGCTGGTCTTGAACTCCTGGGCTCAAGCAATCTTCCTGCCTCAGCCTCCAAAAGTGCTGGGATTGCAGATGTGAGTCACTGCACCTGACTAATCCGTTTTTAAAATTACGAAAACTTCAAACTGCATTGTTCGATTTCTCTCAACTTGTTAAATTTTAAGTTTCTTCATTCTTTATTAGTTGCTGGTATTACCAGGAATTGCTTAAAGGTAAAGATATAGCACTCCATAATACTGAACATATTTAGGATGCTCATAAGGAATTGATTGATATGTTTAAACTAAATAACTTTTTAGTAGGTTCATTCTGAAAAAATGATGTTTTATTTGCTAGAAAACTGTACTATATGGCACACAAATATATTGAATCAGAATTTTTACAAAAAGAGACAGGCCATTTAGTACATTATTCTAATCAATAAAAAGTTATTCTAGAAACTCTCTATATACTTGTAGTGATGGGTAAATACAGTATTTCCCATGACAACTTAACAGCACTGCTGCTGGAAAACTTGTCCTTAGATTAAGCTAAATTCTACATTTTTCTTTTCTTTTTTATTATTATACTTTATGTTCTAGGGTACATGTGCACAACGTGCAGGTTTGTGACATATGTATACATGTGCCATGTTTGTGTGCTGCACCCATTAACTCGTCATTTACATTAGGTATATCTCCTAAGGCTATCCCTCCCCCTTCCCAATTCTACATTTTTCTAACTTTCACCCATCAATTCTAAGCTGGCATCCTGAAGTAAACACATAAGCCTGATCATCTTTCTGTGAAATAATATTTGAAAAACTTCCAGATTCTTCCAAAATAACCAAGGCTCTGCTTTTCAGAACATGTTTCGTAGGCTCCTCCCAATGTAAGACACTTACCTGCTTCTAGATTTAGTCAATTTTTTCAATATATGTTTAATGTGTTGCCCAGAACTGTCACCATTTTTTTCTCTCCTATTTGATGTTGTACTTCTATTACTTTGGCTTAAAATTACATTAGTTTTTTAAAGGCTCATACTATTGATTCCTATTGAACTTAAGAGTTACTTATAGAATTTTCCTCGTCTTTTATCAACAAATAATCAAGGGTTTTTCTTTAATATTTTATATTTATACAAATTATGTTTGATCCTTTGCTGACCTCCATATTATTTTTTGACCATATATTAGAAATTTCCAGATTTTATTAAAGTCAAATTCTGCCTTCTCTAATGGATAACCTGTTTTAAGACTGCTTCTGTTTATTTCTGACAATTGCAGACAGGCACTATACCAAAGGTTTTCCTTTTTCCTTAGAGTCTTAGGATTCCAAGGAATGGCTGGTATAGGAGATGAGGAGTGGAGATAATAAGCCAAGTAGATACAGTGCTAGCCTTCCTAATCAGATTCAAACAGAGCATGCATTTGTATTTTATTTTACACATTAAACTTCTGAGAGTTAATTTGAAAAAATACTGCAGGGGCTTAAAAATAGTTTTTGAAAATCACCTAACTGTTTATCATCTCCTATAGACCTTCCAGTTCCACAAACATACCTTAACTGTAGTGGTTTAAAAATATACAGAAAGAAGAAAGAGAGATTTGAAGATAAAACAATTAAGAAAAAATATACAAAGATGTTTTGAACAACATACCAACTAGCTTTTCCTCCATTGGTTATCCACATCTTCTGACCATTAATAATATACTCATCTCCTTTCTTTTCTGCTTTGGTCTTTATACCAGCTACATCAGAGCCTGCTCCAGGTTCTGTTACACAATAAGCCTTGAATATATAAAAACAAGAGAAATGAAATTAAATGTTAGTGATTAAATTTTGAATGTTTGGAAACAGGATTGTTTTATTTTTTTCAGCTGTATTTTAAATATTTTTAAATATCTAAACTTAAAATGTTCTTAGAAAATCAAATAAACCACTCAAATGTCAAAATTTTTCAGTTTTGTTTGTAAGAGGCAGGGTCTCGCTCTGTTGCCCAGGCTGGAACACAGAGGCTCAATGCAGTCTCAGCTTCCTGGACTCAGGAAATTCTCCCACCTCAGCCTCCTGTGTATAATAGCTGGGACTGCAGGCACACACCACCATGCCTGGCTAATTTTAAATTTTTGGTAGAGATATAGTCTCACTATATTGCCTAGGCTGGTCTCAACTTCCTGGGCTCAAGCAATCCTCTGTGTCAGCCTCCCAAAGTGCTGGGACTACAGGCACAAGTCACAGTGCCTGGCCTAAAAACATTTAATATATAATTAAAATTAGGCATAAGTATATCAACAAATCATATATTTAACAAAAAAGTGAAAATGTTAGATAGCTTTAAACAAGTTCATTAAATTCAATTTCACATGTATTCATTCATACAAACATTTATTGAGTATCTACTATGTACCACGATATAAACTAGGATATGGGGAAACCAGAGGTAAAGGACATTCAGTCCTAGAGATTTTCACAATGTAACAGTGGAGATAAATAACTATACTGCAACTCTATGTGTGAAAGTCACAGATAAGGGGCTTGAGAAACTAGCTTCCCAGAGGAGAGGATGTTTAAATTAAGTCTCAAAAAGGAAAATGGCTTCTTTGGGAGGAGGGATAAAGAGGAGGAATATGCATTCCAGGTACAAGTAATGGGATATGCTATGATACTAAGATAAGAAACAGAGTTACCCAGTGTTTGTAATGCTGAAAATACCAGAGCTCTACAGTATGTAAATTCTGTGCATGTAAGGGAATGGTAAGACATGAGTCTGGAAAGAAAGGAATGAAATGGTTGACAAGAATCTTTTATATCACATTAGAAATTTAAAATTTTATCTGAGGGGAGCCTCTTAAGGCTCTTAAACAGAGGAATGACAAGACACAAGCAGTAATGGATAAAAGGGGGTGGTAGAAGGCAAGTGTTAGTGCAAGTTAATTCAAGAGTGGCAGGTACTGTGAATACTAAAGAAACAAGTTCCTTGCCCTTAAGGTACTTACAGTCCAAAGAAGAAAGAAATTGGGCCGTACATAGTGGCCCCTGCCTGTAATCCTAGCATTCTGTGAGGCTGAGATGGGAGGATCACTTGAGACCAGGAGTTGAAGACCAGCCTGATCAACATAGCGAGAACCCATGTCGATTTACTTTTTAAAAATACACAACAAAAAAGAAACTATAAACATTGTATTTTAATTCAAAATAGTAAGTGTATATAGGCGCATTGTAAATGATTACTTAGGGCCAGGCATGGTGGATCAGGCTTCAGGCTTGTAATTCCAGCACTTTGGGAGGCCGAGGCAGGTGGATCACTTGAGGTCAGGAGTTCGAGACCAGCCTGGCCAACATGGTAAAACCCTGTCTCTACTAAAAATACAAAACCTTAGCTAGGCGTGGTGGCGGGTGCCTGGCTAATCCCAGCTTCTTGGGTGGCTGAGGAAGAAGAATTACTTGAACCTGGGAGGTGAGCCGAGATGGTGCCACTGCACTCCAGCCTACAAGACGGAGTGCGACTCCATTTCAGAAAAAATAAATAAATAAATAAATAAATAAATAAATAAATAAATAATAATA